CAGGGGAGCCCACATCAGAGGACAGCAAGCAGGGATGACGTGGGCCCTCCCAAGCCCCAACACCGGGATCTGGGGAGGGCTAGCTCTCAGATTCACCAAGCACCAGAAGAGGGTGCTCCAGATACCAGGCACTTGGTAAACCATGGGATGCTGGGCCACCCAGCACAGAAGTCACCCTCTCTGGACAATTAATGCACTAATTGCACATGCTGTCCCATGGCAGTCCATTAGCCCAGATCGTGCGATGATTTATTCAGTAGCTCTTATCTCCTTCAAGTCCCCATGCCCTGCTCATCAGCTTCACTGCCTATGCTGGGAGAGTCTGACCCGTAGACCCTCCCCTATCTTCACTCGAAAATGCTGCATGTTATTTCATCAGACAGAGTGTATGAGGATGAAACCCACAGGCAGCCAGGAGATGAACTCCCACACAAGCGGATGCATCTGGGAAGTGGACTCTGGCTTTTTAGGCAAGTCCGTGGATTCTCACATTCTTTCGGGGCAGCCCTTGCTTGAGAGCCTGGGACAGGCCCTTTGCTTATTTTTACTGGGCTTAATCTTGACTGCCTCATTGTGTCCTGAGAAAGCCCTACAGGAGTCTACTATTATCCCCATTTGCCAGATGAGGAAACTGAGATTCAGAGTGGTGAAGTAACTTACCCAAGGCCAACAGCCTACAAGAAGAGGTGGGGACTAAAGCCAAGCAAGGCCCCCGAGCCTGTGCCTCTTTAACACAGCATTTGGCCTCCCTAACTGAGCAGCCCTATGAGGTAAGCCCCATTATGATCCCTGTTTTACAGATAAGAAAACTGAGACTGAGAAGTAAAGTCACTTGCCCATGGTCACACAACCAGGAATGGAAGCCAGGTAGGTGACCTCGACTGATAATGTGCTCTAATCTATGCTCTGGGTGAGCCCATGGATGTGTCCAGAGAGAATGAGAAATGGTTCAGTGCAGTCAGTCCCCACTGCTACCCGAAGCCGCAGCCACGTGGTCCCCTCACCTGACTTCTTCAATACTTCAATGCCCAGCCCCACCTCCCAGACACTGAGTGGAGATCCAGGTTGGCCAGCTCTGATAGCTCAAAGGACCCAGCTCTCAGCACAGTGACAAGTGTGAAGGGCTCTCAAATCACAGCACTGACCTCTCATCATCACCCTCACAGAAAATGGGCCCCTTGCCCAACTGAACAGGCCCAGCCGTGTCAATATTGGGCTGGGAATTCTGGGAGGCCTCTGCCCATCCCCATTGCATCCTATAACCCCTAGCTTCTCCCAAGACCCCTGGAAACAGAACTAGCTATCTAAAATCCCAAATCCTGCCAGACAGGTTGGCCCCCACTTTGGGACTCAGTGCCTCATCTGTAAGATGGGGGCTGACAGCCCCTCCAAGGGTGGGGTTGGGCATGTGAGGACTTGGTGGCCAGCACAGGGCCCGCAGGCAGTAATCGCCCAGCAAGTGGCCGCTGCGGTTGGCATTCACATCATGTGCAAAGCTCGAGGCAACATGCCTGCTTAAATACACACTGCACAAGCTTTGCTCTGGGCAGGCTCTGGGTTCAAATTCCAGCTCTGACTCCCTGCTTGTGTATCTCAGGCACTCAGCTGCCTCTCTCTGAGCCTCAGTTTCCTGGCTGTCAGCTGAGGATGTCACTCCTTCCCCTACAGGGCTGTGGGGACAAAGTGGGTCCGGGCATGTGCAGCACTCATCTCCAGCCTCAGCAAGCGCTAATGGCTGACTGCCTCTCTCCCATTCCAACTCTAAAGCCAGGGCAGCTGGAACTCTGAGTGATCACCGCCCCCACCAGTGCCTGCTGACCGGGGACCCAGAGTGGCCACTGTGCCAGGCCTAGAAGGGACCCCGGAACAACAGACATGTGGCCCAGCTGGGAGTGGAGGGTACAGGCCCAGGGGCCCAGAAAGGGCCAGCTCTGCCTGGGCCACACAGCAGGACAGTGCAGGGCACGGTGTGACCCCACCAGAAACAGCCCCGCCCACTCATCCTGCCTCAGAACACTCTTCCCCTCTCCCTGGGCAAGTGTGCAAGCCCTGCCTGAACACCAACCATGTTCAAGTTGCAGCTCTGCTGCTCAGATGGGATGAGATATTGGGCAGGTCCTTTTACCGCTCTGAGCCTCAGTTTCCCCATCTGTAACATGCGCGTAATAAGATGTGATTGTAGTGAGGATTTGTGAGTTCATTAATCACTTAGAACTGTGCCTGGCATCGAGAAACATTATCACTATCACTATGATTAGTTGCATCGGCATTTCTGTGCCAGGCACCGGGGGCACAGCAGGAAGTGGCCCATGGGTCCCAGCACTGACCACACTGTATGTTCATGGTCTGTACCCAGGCCTGCCAGCTCTAGAGGTCTTCATGCACTTTCAGGCAACTTTTTTCTGTGTCTTCAGCAGGGCCTAGAAAGAGCTTCTGAAAAGAAAATGAACTGACATTTTCTGACGTTTTACCTCTGACAACATTGAACTCCCAGCGGTACCCATCTCCATGCTTTTGCCCAGGCTATTCCCCCCACCCCATTCACCTATCCCCGGGATGCCCAGCTCCTGGCTAACCTCTGGCATGTCCTTCAGGCCCCTAGCTGGGTATGGGGTCTCCCTGGGTTCCTCTCTGTCACAGCCCTGACCACACCGGGCACCCCCACACACGGTCCCCCAGCCTTGAGCTGAGCTTCTAATCCTGATTCATGTTTGGAGTCACCCAGCGCATGGTCAGGCTCAGAGCAAGAGTTTTGCATCTACGTTCAAAACAACAACAATCTATAAGGAGAGCTCGTGTTTACTGAGAAGGTACTGTATGCCAGATCTTGTCCCCGAGTACTCTATCTAGATTCTCTCATTTAAGCCTCTGAAGAGTCCCATGAAATAGATGTTATAAAGTTACAGACAAGGAAACTGAGACACAGGGAGGTGGCCTGAGGACACTGGAGATTTCACGTGGGCTAAAGCCTGAACTCAGACTCCCTTTTCTGCTCCAGCCTGTGGGGTGGGCAGGAGAGGCCAGCACTGGTGACCACAAGTGCCCTACAGTGGGAATGGTCTTTTTGCCCCTCAGTGGTACCCCTCCAAGGCCTAAGCTTTAAGGAGCCCCATTCTGTCAGCCACCAGCCCATATGAGAGGCCCCCAATGCTCAGTGTGCGAGCAGGACAAAGAAAGAGTGGGGACATGGGTCTGGCTTCAGATTTATGGGACTGCATTGTGCATTCCAGGTCTCTGTGGGCTCACCTGTAAAGTGGGGGGACTGAGATGAGTCAGCACCTAGTGCAGAGTGGGAGCTATCAGTCCTGGAAGAAAGGGGTGGAGGGGCCATGGGCCTCTGGGCCTCGCTCCACTCACGCCTCTACCCCCTGGAGGTAGGTCATCCCAGACAGGGGTCTGGGGCCCTCAGAGGGGCATTAAAGTGCCCAGCACAAGATCCATGGCCTGTAGACAGCGTTCGCCCTGGGAGCAAGAGAGAAAAGGCACCTGAGGCCTTGGACAAAGGACACAGGCTCTGTGAGCACCAGAAAGGGAAGCCTAGGAGCAGATGTGAGGGGGGCCAGCCCTGGGGCAGCCAGCAATTAGGGACAGACTTGTGGGGCCGTGATGCTGGGCTTCTGAGGGTTACCCATCAGTCAGAGCCTGACCCCTAGACCAGAGCTCAGGGGAGCACCTAGGCCCCAAAACATCCCTTAAACTTCTCTAAGCCTCACATCCTAATGTGTAAATGGGGACGACAAAAGAAAGGCAGCTTCTGGGTCCTTTCCAGAGACCTGAGAGGGAGGAGCCTGCACTCTTCCTCCAGCTGAGCAGGGGTGGGGAGTGAGAGGTTTTGGGGGGTTGAAGGACAAGTGAGCCAGAGAACCTGGGGGTTGGGGAGATGTAGGCACCGTAGTACAGGGAAACAACGAAAGACTCGAAAGACTTAAAAATCCAGCCTTGGCCTGGTAGCAGCCTGGGCCCCTCTCAGAGAGTGATGGGTTGGGCAAGAGGGGTCAGAAGTTACTGTGAGTCAGAGCATGGGGGAGTGAGGATCCAACCCATGTATGCCACCCACACTGCCCTTCCCCATGATGTCATCAGGTCACACTCATTTCACTGGTCGCAGCACACACACAGCCAAAGCACCCATCTCCATTGCCCACACAGGCCTTCCATCTGTCTCCACATCCCACATCAGTCTACACTAGCCCAAAGCTGTACCCAGGACCGTGGGCCACAAACTATATTGTCAACCATTCGGACAGCCTGACCCAGTCTACACAGCTGGTCCCAGGCCTCACTTTCTGAACCTACTTGCCTGGACTCTACTGGTTGTGACAAAGGGAAAACGTAGGGGAGTCGATGAAACTCCCACCCCCAATAGCACTAGCTTCCCCAGGCCAAAGGAAGCCAGGTGGCTTGAATCCCCTCCAAATCCGGATGCTGGGCACAGCCCTGGTGGGGGGCTCTTGCCAGCTCTTTAGCGCTGACAGGCTAATTAGGGGATGGGGGATCAGCTGGGCCAGTGCCTCCCCACCTCAAGCAGCTGCAGCCTGGGCTGTTGGGGGTAGGAACCTTGTTGGGAGGAGACGTCAGTCCCCTGCCTGGCTTTCTAAATCCACCACAACAGGCAGATCCACCCTTCCCTGGGGAGCACCAGCCGCTGGGCTGGGCACCACGTCCATGTCCATGACCCGTGACCCCCCCCCATGTGAGCACATGCTGAGGGTCTACTGTGTGTCAGGCCTATGGGAACCCCTAGACACATAGCCCTGCTATGACCTCTAGTGAGTAGATTATTCCCATTTTACACCTAGGGAAAACTGAGGCTCAGAAAAGCTCTGTGGCATGACTAGACTGCTTCCTGCAGAAGTTGCTATAGCTCAGAAAGTGAGAGGGGAGGGGAAGCCATGTCAGAAAGTCTCTTGTGCAAGCCAGGAATGTGGCCCTCTGCACAAATCATTGGGATTCACCATAAGAACAGCCCTAGAAGGTGGAGACTGTGTTTTCATACTCACAGTTCAGATGAGGAGCCCAGAGTCTACAGAGGTGGAACCAGGAAGCAGCCCTGCCGGAAGGCAGTCCCCCCAGCTCAGCTCCCACCTGCTGGTTATTCTGAACATTTCTGAGAGGTCATCGCAGCATGTATGTTGCAACCTCATCTTCTCTTGGAGACAGGGACAGAAGTAGCGAGAAGGCAAAAGCTTGCGAGAAGGCAAAAGCTTGCAGGAAGCTGGGAGCTCAACTCTGGCTTAGAGACTCTGAGGAGCCTGCAGACACATGGGGGAGACACCGTGGACAGGTGAGTGGCTGAGCCTGAAGGCAGGAGAAAGGTCTGGACTAGGGATGAAAACTGGGAGCTGGGTGAGTGGACAGAGGTCTGCAGGGGAATGAGGGGGCACCCCAGTAAGCAGACCTTCAGGAGGAGGCTGATCCACAGGGCCAAGAGGCAGGATGGGTGCCGAGCCACACAGGTCATTCCCAGGGGGAGTGAGGGCGAGCAGGATGAAGACAAGGTGACCATGGATCTGGATAGCTTCACTGGCATCACAGAGGTGAAGGCCAAAAAGAGAAACTGGGGCAAGTGGGGACACCACCCGTGAGTTGTGTGGTTCCTGAGAGCAGAGAAGTGAGGCAGAAGCTGGAGAAGGGTCAGGGGAGGTGTTTCAATGTTGAAAGACTCTGTTCAAAGATAATATGTCCTCAGAAGCTACAACGGAGAGCTATCACAGGACCCAGAAATTCCACTCACTCCTAGGTGTACCTCCAAGAGAATTGAAAACAGGCATTCAAACAAAACTGTGTTCAGAGCCGGCCGAGTGGTGCGTTGGTTAAGAGTTGGCTCGGGAGTGCCAGCTCTGAGCAGCAGGGCCCTGGTTCTGATCCCATATTAGGGCCAGTGATGCTGTGCCTTCTACAGCTAAGATGGTGAACAACAGCTTGACCTGGAGCTGGGCTGCCGTGAGTCACCAGTGACAGCATAGGCTGCAGCCCCTGCTGCAGTGGGCTGCTGTGAATGGCGGTCCAATGGCTGACGAGCGACTGCCTCACCCGGGAAGAGCACAATGATAATACCAACATAGGCCAGCGAAGCGACATCCTCCATAACTAGACTGAAGAACAAAAGGACAGCAACTTGTCTATTCCCCTTCCCCAATTCCCCAATAAAATCTTAAAAACAAAACAAAACAAAACAAAACTGTGTGCACAAATGTTCACGGCAGCATTATTCTTCAGCCAAAGGTGGAAACAGCCCAAACATCCATCAACTGCTGAAGGATAAACAAAACGTGGTGCATCCACACAGTGGGACATCACAGCCATCAAAAGGACTCGAGTGCTGACCCATGCTACAACATGGATGAGTCTCAGAAATATTCTGCTAAGTGAGAGAAGCCAGACACATACAAAAGACCGCATACAGTGTGGTTCCATGTATACAAATGTCCAGAAGAGGCAAATCCACGGAGACAGAAAGCAGATTGGTGGTTTCCAGGGACTGGGGAGATGGGTTGTGGAGAGTGACTACTGATGGTATGGGGTTTCCTCTTGGGGTGATGAAATGTTTTGAAACTAGAGTAAGAGGTACTAGTTGCACATCATTGTGAATGTACTAAATGCCGCTGAAAGGTTCACTTTAAACCTAAAAAAAAATTGTTTTTGAGGAGACACTTAACAGAGATTGAACCCACTGCAACCTGACAGATCCAAGCCCACTCTTCACACCCACTCAGTACAGCCACAGCCACCTACCAGGCAGTGGAAAACAAATGCTTGTTGCTGTAAGAAAGAAACAATATGAGAACGCTGCACCGCCTCTGGGCCCTATGCAAGGCTCCCTCCTTTCTCCCTTTACTCCAGCCCCGATGTTCTGTTCTCCAGGCTGGTCCTTGAGCCCAAGGAGCACCATCCACCCTTGGCCTCTCCCTGGGCATCCCAGCTCTGATATCCTCCTGGCTCCTCCCTGATTCCATGCAGATCCCTGCTCAGATGTCCCCTTTCCTCTCACATGTTCTGTGGTCACTTATTCAGGAGTCTGTGCTCAGTCACCTATTGACATGTGAGAGCAGGGATTCATTTTTTTCTCCAAGATTATTTTTTAGAACAGTTTTATGTTTACAACAAAATTGAGGGGAAGGTACAGAGGTTTCCCACATACCTACTGATGCCACACACACAGCCTCCCCCATTATCAGCATCACTCACCAGAGTGGGACATTTGTTACAATCTGTGAACCCACATTGACATATCATCATCACCCAAAGTCCATAGTTGACCTTAGGGTTCACGCTTGGTGCTGTACTTTCTATGGGTTTGGACGAATGTATAATGACTTGTAACCACCATGATAGTATCATATAGAATGGTTTCACTGCCTTCAAAACCCTCTGTGCTCTGCCTATTCATCTCCCCTTGTCCACCCCTGGCAACCACTGATCTTTTCACTGTCTCCATAGTTTTCCCTTTTCCAGAGTATCATATAGTTGGAATCCTATACATGTAGCCTTTTCACATTGGCTTCTTTCACACAGTAATCTGAATTTAAGGTTCCTCCATGTCTTTTCATAGCTTGATATTTCATTTATTTTCAGTGCTAATAGTCCACTGTCTGGATGTACCCATTTATTTATTCATTCACCTACTGGGAACATCTTAGTTGCTTCCAAGTTTTGTCAAGTAAGAATAAAAGATGCTATAAACATGGGTAAATACCAAGGAGTGTGATTGCTGGGTAGTAAGAATATGTTTAGTTTTGTAAGAAACCACCAAACTTTCTTCCAAAGTGGCTGCACCATATTGCATTCCCACCAGCAATTAAAGTTCCTGTTGCTCCACAACTTCGGCTGCATTTGCTGATGTCAGTGCTCTGGATTTTGGCCATTCTAATAGGTGTGTCGTGGTATCTCCTTTACATTTGCATTTATTTCCTTTATAACATATAGTGTGGAGCACCTTTTCGTGCTTACTTGCCATCTGTATATCTTCTTTGCCTAAGTGTCTGTTCAGGTCTTTGCCCCATTTTTTATAATCAGGCCATTTGTTTCCTATTGTTTGAGTTTTATGAGTTCTTGGTGTATTTTGAGTAACAGCCCTTTATCAGATGTGTCTTTTGCAAATATTGTCTCCCACTGTGGTTTCTTATTCTCTTGACAATTACTTTCACAGAGCAGAAGTTTTTAATTTAAAAAAATTCCAACTTATCAATTATTTCTTTCATGGATTTTGCCTTGGTATTCTATCTAAAAAGTCACTGCTATACTCAAGGTCATCTAGGTTTTCTCCAATGTTATCTTCCAGGAGTTTTATAGTTTTGAATGTTACAGTTAGGTCTGTGATTCATTTGAGGGAATTTTTGTGAAGGGTGTAAGGCCTGTGTCTAAATTTATTTTTTTGCATGTGGATGTAGAGTTGTTCCAGGACCATTTGTTGAAACAACTATCTTTGCCTCATTGTATTGCCTTGCTCCTTTGTCAAAGATCCATAGACCCATTGACTATATTTATGTGGATCTATTTCTGCACCCTCTATTCTATTCCATTGATCTATTTGTCTATTCTTTTGCCAGTACACACTGTCCTGACTCCTGTAGCATTACAGTAAGTCAGGTATTACCAGTCTTCCAACTTTGTTCTTCTCCTTCAATACCGTGTTGGCTGTTCTACGTCTTTTGCCTCTCTATAAACTTTAGAATCCATTTATTGATATCCACAATATAACTCACTGGGATTTTGATTGGGATTGTATTGCATCTGTAGATCAAGTTGGGAAGAACTGACATCTTGACAATATTGAGTCTTTAACCATGAACACAGAATATCTCTCCAATTACATAGTTTTTCTTTGATTTCCTTCATCAGATTATTGTAGTTTTCCTCATATAGGTCTTGTACATATTTTGTTAGACTTATACCTAAGTATTTCATTTTGGGAGGGCTAATGTAAATGGTGTTATTTTTAATCTCAAATTCCATTTGTTCATTGCTGGCATATAGGACAGCGATTGACTTTTGTAAATTAACCTTGTATCCTGCAATCTTGCTAAAATAGCTTATTTGTTTCAAGAGTTGTTGTTTTCTTTTTGTCAATTTTTTCAGATTTTCTACATAGATAATCATGTCATATATAAAGAAAGACAATTTTATATCTTCCTTCCCAATATGTATACCTTTTAACTCCTTTTCTTAACTGCATTGTGAAGGACTTCCAGTACGATGCTGAAAAGGAGTGGTGTGATGGGACATCCTTGCCTAGTTCCTGATCTTTGTGGGGAAGCTTTGAGTTTCTCACTATTAATTATGATGTTAGCTATAGGTTTTTTGTAGATGTTCTTTATTAAGTTAGGAAAGTTCCCCTCTAGTCCTACTTTACTGAGAGTTTTTATCATTAATGTATTTTGGTAGGGCTTTGTTTTGTCCCCTAGAGTGTCCTTGTGCTCAGAGAGAATGCAGGCCCACAATGGGCTTTTAACAATCACCTCAGGAACAAACAGGTGCAGGGTGTAGAGAAGTGTCCAGCAGAGAGAGAGAGAGACTTGCCACAGCAATGTTCTGGAGTAGGCAAGAGAAGTGGTATCCCAAGACAGAAGGCAGGGATAACAATCCATCCACAAGAAAGGGAGGAAGGAACAGTGAGGGGTGCAGGTGTCAGGACATGGGTAGCTGTGGTGGGAGCAAGTGGAAGTTTTCTTTTTTTATTTTCCCTGTGAAAGAGGAGGCCACACTGTTAGCTGAGAATCTAGAACCTTGGTGTGAAAGGTGGGGCCCCAGGACTAAGGGGGCAGGTTCTGGAATGGGGAGAAAGAGAGTGGTTCTGGGGCTAGTGCCCCAAGCTTGGAAGCATGACCCGGAGTGAGAGGGGTCTGTAAGGCCACTTGGCAGAGGGCTGAGTAGCAGAGTGCTGCAACTCGGCTCAGGGATCCGTGTCTTTTAATGTTTTCTCCGTGTGTGCTCAGGAGGGCTAGGGTGGGCTCACGAGGCAAGTGGCAAGGGATCTCTCTGCCCTAGCACCTGCCTAGGGCTCCAGGGATGGCTCTGAAGGGCTATCTATGGTTTCTGCTGGCTGGATACTCACCCTGGGAGGCACTGGTGCCACAGCAGCCTTCCATGGGGTCAGGGGCCAGAGTCCCCTCCCTTGGGTGATTTTTCTGCTCTGCCACCTCCAGCAACCCACTCTCTTCAGAGAATTCTACTCAGGCCACATGGATCCAAAGTTAAATGCATAAGTGCATGAATAAATAAGTGATCAACAGCTCCATTCTTCCCCCAAGCA